ATTCACAAAAACACTATCACTCAATGCTCCATGACATCTAGCATATATGTTTTATATTTTGCCATACAAAATTAAGCATTGTACTCCTGCTACTGCCTATCTAAGTGACCTGTGGGTCTAAGTATCCTCTTTTTTTAAATTAAGAGGATTAGATGAGCCCCTTGCAGTGCTCAAACTATGCTGTATGCCTCGAGTTTGGCACCGCTGACACGTTAGACTGGATAATTACTTCTTGTAGGTAGCTGTCTTGTGTATTGCAGGATGGTCACCACCATGCCTGGTTCTACCCACTACACATCAACAATATGAATGTTGCCACCTACCACGTCCCAGATCTGACAACCAAAAATACCTCCACATATTCACAAATATCTTCTGGGGAATACAATCAGTCCCAATTGAGAACCGCTGCTCTAACTGAAGCCGTGATTCTTAAACTTTGGTTAATATCTGCATCCCCTGAGAAACGGGTAAAAACATAAAGGCCCAGACTTGATTCTAGTTCAAAAAATCCAGGGTCTCCGTGATTTTATTAGCTTTTTAACAACACAACAAAGTTTTAAAAGCATTGTTTATAAGGAATCGGATAATAAAGTATGGCCACACATCATCAAGGAACAAATCAGAAATGCAAATTTGAAAGCTCCACCCCAGATTTAGTGAATCCAGAACTCTGAGATGGAAGTCAGTTAATTATGTAAGAAAAAGTACATTCTTGGCACACTCTGCAAGAAGTTCAGGAGTATAAGAGACTCATGGATGACTGTCTCTTCCAACATAAAGTACCACTGGGAGAGCATGACCTGGAATCAGCTTCTTTGCACTGCATGGCTCTTATTACCATATGGTCTTGAACTTTTTGTCCTAATCCAGTCTTTAAAAGCAGATCAGATTGGTTTTCTTGGGAGGGAATATATGGGGGATTACACAAAACCCTGCCTATTCCCAAAACCCTACCTACTCATGAATCCTACACAGCACCGGGAACCCCAACTCATTGACTCATTTTTTGGGCTGTGGCATTTAACTGTAGACCTGTGGTTCTCAACCTTCACTTCATATTATAATCACCTGGGAAACTGCTAAAAATTCCAGCGCTCAGGTTATATCCCAGACCAATAAATCAGAATCTTTCAGAGCAGGAACCAGAAAGTAATTTAACTTCTTAGGTGATTCTAATGTTTAAGTAAAGTGGACTTGTCAATTAACAGTTTCTCACAAGTCAGGCAGACATTGTAGGTAAGGTAGTAATACAAGGTACTATTTGTCGTAAGACATAAGAAATAAGGTAGTATTGCCAGGAGCAGTGGCTCATGCCTGTAATCCCAGCACTGTGGGAGGCTGAGGTGGGCAGATCATGAGGTCAGGAGTTCAAGACCAGCCTGACCCATACGGTGAAACCTCGTCTCTGCTAAAAATACAAAAATTAGCTGGGCATGGTGGCACACGCCTGTAGTCCCAGCTACTGGGGAGGCTGAGGCAGGAGAATTGCTTGAACCTGGGAGGTAGAGGTTGCAGTGAGCTGAGATCATACTACTGCAGTCCAGCCTGGGCGACAGAGTGAGACTCCATCTCAAAAAAAAAAAAAAAAAAAAAAAAAGAAATAGGGTAGTAGAGCATGCAAAAGACTTGAAACTTGAAACACCTGGCCAATTTGGGAATCAGTAGGATGTGGTTGCAACCTATAGGCTACTGACCCTGTGCTAATGCCAATTCTTTCCCTAAGTCTTTCTAGGGAGCTATCTTTGCAACCTCTGTGTTCCCATAGCACTTTCAATCTAATCTAACATATACCACATTCTACCTTGTATTATAACTCTGTACATCATATACATCAAATTTGTTTCTATGTAACACTGTGAGCTTCCCAGAGATAAGAATCCTAACTTATTTATCTTCTCTTTCACCCAAAATATTTATTTACTTTGAATGTAGCATCAGAAAATGTTAATTTAATTGAAATATATTAAGTGATGTAGAAATGTCACCAAATGTAGAGATAAAATATAGTAAGGCATCCTGGCACTTTGCCCTCAGTCCCACAGCAGGAGTTCCTATCCTGACGTGCTTCAAATCTTCCACCAGTGGACTGATTACCCTGGACTGGACTCCAAAATTTTTATCTGAAAACAGAGACAATCTCTAGAGAAAGAGTCTGGGCAGATGACCGAAGTGCTAATTCTGGAACAGTGACTATCCAAGGCATTCAGTATACATTCAGCTCCAAACTGGAGCTTTTTCATCAGCAATATCCGTCAAATTAGTAACGTTTGGTGGGGGAAAAAAAAATAAGAGCATGATTCATCAGTGTCTCTTGGAATCACAGTCAGGGCTGTTCATGGCCTGAGTGGTCAAATCTAACAAAATGAATGAAGGAATGAGCATGAATCTCTGCCAAGCCCCTCAGCATAGTGGTGATTCCACACAAAAGTGTTCTTTGAAAAAATCATAGCAACTAGATACATGTGTGTGTCTTTTTCCCATTGCCTGTCCCTCTACTCACCATTGCAGGGACTGGAAGACTAATGAGATCCTCACAGGCACTAGAAGACCACAGAAATGCCTCCAGGAGGCAGGCTGGGATCCAGAGTCCAATGCATACTCTTGCACGCATCCTTGTGAGAGTGTGCAGCCAAGGAACTTGAAAGAGGGGAGCACCTTGGCTAAGAATGTATTTGTGACAGAGGAGAAGGGGAAAAATGGGAGGCCTCCAGCTAGTCATTTGGAATCTGGCAACCATTTCTGTCAGCTTTCCCATTCCTAGGTTGATGCACATTGCTTAATTCCTGAAGGTAAGGGATTTACTAAATTGCCTCTTTGTTCAAGTCTTACTGTAAGAATTTTTCTCTTTCTTTTTCTTTCTCTCTCTTTTTCTTTCTTTCTTTCTTTCTTTCTTTCTTTCTTTCTTTCTTTCTTTCTTTCTTCCTTCCTTCCTTCCTTCCTTTCTTTCTTCCTTCCTTCCTTCTTTCATTCCTGTCCCTCCCTCCCTTCCTTCCTTCTTTCCTTCCTTCCTTTTCTTTTCCTCTTTCTTTTTCTCTTTCTTCTCCTTTCCTTTCCTTTTCTTTCTTCCTTCCTTCCTTTCCTTCCTTCCTTCCTTTTTTCCTTCCTTCCTTCCTTCCTTCCTTCTTTCTTTCCTTTCTCTCTCACTTTCTTTTCCTCTCCCCTCCTCTCCTCTGCTCTCCTCTCCTTCTTCCTCCTTCTTCTTTCTTTTCTTCTTCTTTTTTTCTGAGACAGAGTCTCACTCTGTCACCCAGGCTGGAGTGCAGTGGCAGGATATCAGCTCACTGCAACCTCCATCTCACGGGCTCAAGGAATTCTCCTGCCTCAGCCTCTTAAGTAGCTGGGACTACAGGCATGTGCCACTACACCTCACTAATTGTTGTATTTTTAGTAGAGACGGGGTTTCGCCATATTGGCCAGGCTGGTCTCCAACTCCTGACCTCAGGGGATCCACCTGCTTCTGCCTCCCAAAGTGATGGGATTGCAGGGGTGAGCCACCGCACTTGGCCACAACAAGAATTTATTTCTGAACAGCATTTCACGTGTTAGGCATTTGGCTGTTTAAGAGATGAGGGACCTGAGGCCCTCAGTTGCCAAGGTCACACACCTGATAAATGGATAGAGGCAGAATGCGAGTACAGCGTCTCCTGCCTCCAAAGGTTCTCTGGGCCCTGGAACACCACAGGCTGCACAGGAAAGGCAGGCTATATATTGTTCTTCTCCTGGCCCAGCGCCCTGATGCAATGCTTGGACAAACATCTACACAAAGTGGGATGATAAGGAAAGGGAGAGACCTTCCCCAAGAGAAGGAGCAGTAAGCCTTGATTCCAAAGGCCCTAGGTTGAGTTTGTCCTTCCCCACTTCTCAGCTCTATGCATTTGGTCAAATCACTTATCTTATCAAACCTTGGCACCTGGCCTACAGGGCCTCTGACTTTTTTTCATATTTATTCTTTTTTTTTTTAACTTCAAGTTCTGGGATACATGTGCAGAATGTGCAGGTTTATTACATAGGTATACACGGCCTCTATGTTTTGTTATTGTTGATGTTGTTGTGCGTGTTGTTGTTATTGTTGTTTCCTGAGACAGAGTCTTGCCCCGTCGACCAGGCTGGAGTGCGATGGCACAATCTCTTCTCACTGCAACCTCCGCCTCCTGGGTTCAACAAATTCTCCTGCCTCAGCCTCCCGAGTACCTGGGATTACAGGCGCACGCCACCACTCCCAGCTAATTTTTTGCATCTTTAGCAGAGATGGGGTTTCACCATATTGGCCAGGCTGGTCTTGAATTCCTGACCTCGTGATCCTCCCACCTTGGCTCCCCAAAGTGCTGAGATTACAGGCGTAAGCCACCACGCCCGGCCATGTTATGTTTTTGTTGTTGTTGTTGTTTGTTTGTTTGTTTGAGACGAAGTTTCCCTCCTGTTGCCCAGGATGGCGGGATCTCGGCTCACTGCCTCAGTCTCCTAAGTACCTGGGACTACAGGCGTCCGCCACCAAGCCCAGCTAATTTTTTGTATTTTTAGTAGAGACTGGGTTTTACCATATTGGCTAGCCTGGTTTCGAACTGCTGGCCTCAGATAATCGCCCCCCCCCCCCAGCCTCGGCCTCCCAAAGTGCTGGGATTACAGGCATGAGCCACTGCCCGGCCGCCTTGATGGTTTTATTCACAGTCTGAGGTGGCGTTCCAGGCTTCAGTAGACGGTGAAGCACCCTGCAAACTGCGAGGTCATACACAGATTCCAGAATATGATTGCCGCCCTAACCTTGCTAAACTGGATTTTCATTTCCAAAAAGAAGACTAACAACACATCGGCCGCGCTGGCTCATGCCTGTAATCCTAGCACTTTGGGAGGCCGAGGTGGGTGGATCACCCGAGGTCAGGGGTTCAAGAGCAGCCTGGTCATCATGGTGAAACTCCATCTTTGTATATATATATATATTTAAAAAAAAAAAAAAAAAGAAGGAAACTAACACAATCCCTTCCTGCTACTAGAAGGGAGCCCACGTGTACAGCTCCTCGTCCCCGGCTGGCCTCAAGCGGCGCTAGCTCTGTGGCTGGCGCTGGAGTGTGCTGCCCCTGGCAGCGCCGCCGCAGCAGGGAGCCGGGGAGAGCGGCTCTCGAGGCAGCAGGAGGAGCGTGTGAGCTGTGGGCGTCCCTTTAAGAGCGGCTGGCCAGGCACGGCCTCCGCCTCTCAGTCCGCGGAGCGCCGGCAGTCACCTGGGGCTCGCGGGGCAGCCAGATCGCGGCGGGGTCGGCGCGCTTCCCCGAGCGGCGGTGGGAGAGGCGACCCGGACGCGAGGCGCCCCGAAGCCCTCTCCGCTTGGCGGTGCAGCGCCTCTCTGAGGCGGAGGATGCGGGAGCGCATCTGGGCGCCGTCGCTGCTGCTGCTGCTGCCGCTGCTGCTGCCCCCGCCAGTGTGGGGCGGCCCCCCGGACAGCGCACGCCGGGAGCCGGAGCGCGAGCCCGGGCCTCTGCAGCCCTCCGACCTGCTCTACGCCAGCGGCGCGGCCGCCTACTACCGCGGGGACTACGAGCAAGCCGTGCGCGACTTGGAGGCGGCGCTGCGCAGCCACCGGCGCCTGCGGGAAATCCGCGCGCGCTGTGCCCGCCGCTGCGCCGCGCGCCACCCGCTGGCGCCCCCCCGGCGCGGGCCCCGGGGCCGAGCTGCCTTTTTTCCGCTCCGTGTTGGAGCGGGCGCGCTGTTACCGCAGCTGCGAGACCCAGCGCCTCGGGGGACCTGCATCCCGTCACCGCGTCAGCGAGGATGTGCGCAGCGACTTCCAGCGCAGAGTGCCCTACAACTACCTGCAGCGGGCCTACATCAAGGTACCCACCGAGCGCTCCTCCACTCCAAAGCTCCCTGCGGCTCGCAGATGCCCGCTTGAGCCCTCCCTGCTGCCCCCACCCCCACCCCATCATCTTCCCATGCTCTCTGTTCAGCCTTTCACATTGGGTCTCCTTAAATACGTGACTCATGTTTGTGAATCTGGATGTCTGGTGGCCCCATCTCTGTACCCAACAACTAATTAACTTGGACAAGTCTTTTTCCCTCTTTCTCAGAGCCAACTTCTCTCTCAAAAACAGGATTGTACTGGTAAGATGGTGTTAGATGACCTTCTAATTCAGCACTAATTCATGAGGATTTGACAAACCTGAGTCTAGTACAAGTTCTCTTCTCTCCGCTCATTTCCCGTTTCTCTTCTGTCTCCTCTCCCTCATCTTTAATAGACTGTAGTCTGCAAATTTTCTCTGAAGTTCAAAAGAAAGTACGTTCAAAATAGTGAAGTAAAAATATACCTGTTCTAAAACAAATTTTTCTCTCTTCTCCCCTTCACCTACAAAAAAGTAAAGATCAAAGGTTAAAGAGAAGGGCTGCTTGGAGGAGGTGAAGCTATTTGAGGCAGTCTCAGTAAAAGTATCCATCCTAAGTGTGGACTTTTTCTCGTTTGATAGCAGGCTTTCAGTTTCTGGTGTGATACATTGGACTGGGTTACTGGGCATCAGTCCTCTACTTCTAGTTTTATTTTTGTAGACCTAACTTGGCTAAAGTTAGTGTCAGGAGGTATACTGTGCGTATTGACATATTTTTCACATCCATAACGTTGAAGACCTCTCTGGATGCTTCAGTAGAGGGAATTTGAAAGAGTTCTTCAACCTCCACTGCCACTCACCCAATTTTGCTTCAAATTTACACTCAAGCCTTCTTTCCGGTTTTCTATGTTAATGTATCAATGTCTCTTATACTACTGTTGGAAAAGTGGAAACTTTGGGGGTGCTTGGTCATGCTACCCAATGGACTAAGCTGCATTTCTTTTTTCTTCCTATTTATTCATTTACTTATTTATTTTTGAACTGGAGTTTTGCTCTGTTGCCCAGGCTGCAGTGCAATGGTGCAATGGCCAGATATCGGCTCACTGCAACCTCTGCCTCCTGAGTTCAAGCGATTCTCCAGCCTCAGCCTCCTGAGAGGCTGGGACTATAAGTGCACGTCACCATGCTCAGCTAATTTTTGTATTTTTAGTAGAGACGGGGTTTCACCATATTGGCCAACATGGTCTCGATCTCTTGACCTCGTGATCTGTTTGCCTTGGCCTCCCAAAGTGCTGTGATTACAGGCTTGAGCCACCATGCCTGGCCAGACCAGGCTGCATTTCTAAGGAGATGAAAGTACATACCATGTTCAAATATCCAAATACCTTTGCAGCTCATCCCACAAGAACCCTGACCTCACATTGGTAGGGTTCTTTCAGATTGGCAACTGTTGGTAGAATTCATGACATTTCAACTAAGTCTAAATCTTAACTTCCTGTGTATTGTGGCTAAGGTGTTAGAGTTCACTGGACTAGTACATTGGTCAAGAAATGAAGAGAAGGCCTGAATCCTTTCCAGGACTTGTCTTCTACTTACTTGTGCCTCCTGATGGATTTGCTAAGGCATGTGTGATGTATAACTCTGATTTCTTCTAAGTGATTTACACAGTTTCTGGTGAAATCAGCCAACACCATACCTTGAGTGTCTGACAGTGAAGCTATCATAAGCTGGTTCCCAAAGCAGAACATGGATGGTCCCGTAGCTTGGTCCTCCCAGGAGTCTCAGATGTAAGGCTAGCAGTCCTGCTGTTAATTCTGCCACAAATTTTGGACATATTTTCCTTTCTCATATTTGGAGAAAGAATACATATTCATGGTCAGTCCTATAAAAATAAATATCCATGAGGTAACTCTCAATATGTAGGTTTCCCTGTTAATGTGAGCGTTTGTCAGTCATTTTCCTTTCTGTTCCTGGGCTGGAGGTCAAAGAAGGTGAAGCCCTAGGTTTAACATACCTCACATTTTTGTGGTGAATGGATTACAGGAACGAGTCACACTCTGTGAGTGAATTACTGGGTGTTGTCTAATGAATTAATGAAGTTTAAGAAGTTCTTTCAATGTGGCTTCATGTGTTCTTTTCGGCTCTACCTGCAGTATCTCTGAGAGCAGAACAAGTCTTGCATCTTCTCCCCACTTCTCTTCTCTGACAGTTTCTTGGGTCTATATAATTGACAATCTCTTAAGAAGAAACTATTTTTATCCCTTTGGAAATTCATTTTTCAAAGTTGGAGTTTGTGAACATCTAAAAATGCATCATGGTTTTTTTCTCCCCTGCTCCCTTTTAGCCTTTGCTTGGCTTCCTTGGAATTTCACTTATGAATACGCAAACACACCATCTTTTAAGACTGAAAAAAAAAAAAAACAAAAAAAAAACCTCTCAAATAATAAAAGAACGTCCTTGAACTCTTGACAGGTCTGGATTCTAGGGTATTAACTCCCTGATGTTAGGATAAGGAACTGCCTGCAGGTGACTGGATATGGTCATGGCGTCCTGTATTGTTGAATTGCTTTTGACATCAGTGATCCAGTTTGCACTTAAAAAGATAATCCTGTGCCAGAGCAGATTCAGTGAGGGAGGACTGAAATGCTTCATAAAGCTAGGAAAGTACAATTATTCTCTGCTAAGAGATTTACCAACCACAGAAGCTCTCAGGAGATGTTGCTTCTCCCCCAAATCCTGCTAAGTGGGCCACTGATGAAAGCAGATTCCTTGTACTGATGTGTTGGAGGGGAAGAAGGGTACAGAATCATGAAATATGAGACCCTCTGAGTTCAACTTCTTGGTTCACAGATGAGGAAAGTGATGTTTCTAAATGTTTAACAGAAACATAAAGCTCAGTGTCATTTATTTAGTGGCATACTAAATGATCTGTTGAAATGAGCACAGGGCTGGGAGTCAGAAGTCTGGATTCTTCCAGTAACTGATTCCCACAGTTATCCTGTAGCCACTGGCCTGTGGGTTCACTTCAGGTCCCAGAAAATGATGCATACCCCAGGGCTATCCTTATGCCAGATTTGGACAGCTCCAGGTATGAGTATGTCCTTGTCTTGTAGGGTAACGGACACTGACTGCATTTTTCATAAGCCTTGCTTGGTAGACTCTTTCTCAAGGCCTGGCATGTTGGGAATTTGCCTAGACAGCTATGAGGCAGTAGTTTCACCTGGCTCCTAGCCATACTTTTTTGTTTAAAGGCAGGGTGAGACTCTTCAAACTTTTTATTTTTATCATTTAAGATTGTTTGATATAACCCATGATTCATAGCCTAAGACATAAGACACGGCTTTTCTCATTTCATTCTCTGCTCGGAAACCTTCAGTGGCCTTCCCATTGCTACCATATAAAGCTCAAATACTTTACCATAGCACCCACAGCCTGGCTCCCTCTCAACCTTCCCAGCCCTATCTTCCCCAACTCTGACACGCTCCAGCCAAAGGGAACAATGAGTGCTTTTGTCTTACGCCTGACACTTCTGCAGCTCTTGGCCTTGTTTATTCTTTCTTGAGAGGTGTAGAGGCTTTAGAATAGGATAGATATGGGATTAGTTTTTAGTTTTCCCAATCCCTATCTGTGTGACAGTCAGCAAATTACGTAAGATTTTTTTAGTTTTAGTTCTCCCATCTGCAAAATGGGGAAATTATCGGGCCTACCTGCTTGTTTCAGGTTAAGTTTAAGAGATGAGTGATGTAAAGAGCCCAGAATAGGGCCTGATTCTCAGTAAGCATTGCAGATATATTTCTTCTTATTATTAGTTAAAATAGTGGATCTTTCCTCCTCCTTTTCTACATGTTCAAATCGTAACTATCCTAACTCATAAATAGACTTATTTCTGTGAGTCCTTCCTTCACTCCTTCCACAACTCCCAGAAGTACACCATTTCTCCCTTTTCTGAATTCCCACAGCAACAAATTTGTTCCTCTCCCTTCATTTTTCATTTTTAACCTTGTTTTGGAAAGATTGATATATTCGCCGTTACTTATGTGAGCTCCTTGAAATCAAGAACTGTCTTAGTGATTCTTGCATCTTCTAAAGTAGAGGTTCCCAGATTTGGATGATTACCAGGTGGATAATTATTCTTAACTATCAGGGGCATTCAAATGGGATTTAAAATTAGAGATAAAGGCTCAGTAGGTCCAAGTTGGGTCATCGGCAATCATTTTCCCTCCAAATACCTAAAATGGGGGCTGGTAGCAGTAGATGTTCAGCGTAGGTTTGTTGAATGAATAATAACTTGGTTCTGTGCACATGAATGTTGTTGAGAAAGATTTCTGCATGGTAGCAGAAGGTTTTCTCACTTCAGTTGTTTGGCTTTCTGTCTGGTCAGTTGGGAGAAGAAGTTACAGGACTGTTGACTGCCTGACTTTCACTATTTTCTCCTTACAAGTTCTGGCAGATGTTGCAAACGTTCACCCCCTTCCACAGCCCCCTTTTTCTTCTTTAGTTCTTATTACTTAAAACTGTACTTCAAAATACCCTTGACATATTGTACCTGTTTCATGTACATTTCTGGAATTTAAACAAACATGAGGGACACGTTTCTTTCTTATCTGTGTCCTTTAAAATCACAAATGGGTTGGCAGTGTCTGTTTTTTTCTCCCACTTTTCCCAGCCATTTAAAAAAAACAAAAGAAAAGAAACTAGTGCTGTTTATTTATTCATTTTTCTACTCCAAACAAGCTTGCCCCTGCTTGTTTTGTTTCTGGGTTGTTGGTTTTTCCATTTGACCTTTGTTTTTCTTCTTAGAATTAAAGGGAAGGGGAAAAATAAAGAAACACAATTACGTAAAGCAATTCTGAATCTACCAGATTAGTGGTTCCCGGCCGGGGGCTGGTGGGCTGCATGGGGGCGGTGAAGTAAACTCTAGGAATTTCCTCACTCTTACTCTGTTTTATCAACTGCCTTCTCTTTTTAGAATGAGTGCATTAAAAAGAAATTGAAAACCCAGACAAGTGCATCAT